AGCTGCTCTGGATGTGCAAGCTGCTTGCTGAGATTGGGCTGCCTGTCTCTGGCCCTTCGAAGCTGCAGATTGACAACCAGAGCGCTATCTCTGTGGCTAAGAATCCTGAGCACCATGGGAGGATGAAGCAGCTGGACCTGTGCTTCTACTGGCTGAGGGATCAGGTCGAGTCTGGGCTCATTGAGCCTGTCCATGTAGGCACTGACCACATGGTGGCTGATCTCCTCACCAAGGCACTTCCTGTGGCCAAGGTGCAGCGGTTCTCTCATCTGATGGGACTTGAGGCATTGGGGGGGAGCGAGTCTGGCAGAGCTGCTGGTTCAGGGGGGAGTGTCAGGGTGCTTCCAGCACCTCTGCATCGCTCCTATGCCCTTGGCACAGCAGCCCAGTGGCCTTGGTACGCTTTCCAGCATTCCAGGACACTTGGGTAACAAGAGGTAAAACTTGCCTGTTGTGTGGGTTGAACCTAGAGCCTTGTGGTAGTGCCCAGAGCGCTGCAACCACTCAGCTATTGTGTGTTGAGGTATACTTCTACTTGTGTCTTGTTTATAACTTTACCATCTTCCTATTCCAGTATCTCGCGACTTTGCCCCTATTTCGCTTTTCTCTACCCTTTGGCTTGCTATGGAGAACTCCGAGCTACTGTACAGTTCCCAAACCTTATTTTTTTTCACCTATATAACCCTGGTGTCCACAGAGCATCTCCTTACTTGCTCACTGTTGGACACCAGGTCAGTACCACTGGGGGCAATTACCCATGTTTTCGTAGAAAACATTCAAAATGTTTTGAGGGTCACCTTCCTAATTGGGTAGGTCACTATCCAAATTTGGCATTTTTAGCAAAACATTTTAAATGTTTTTGACATGTTTTCCCTGGAAATATCGTCTAATGCCCCCAGTGTACCCTTGTATTTCGTCTTTATCAATACCACTTGCTTACTGTTGGACGCCAGTGCCTCTCCTGAGCTTGATATTTGCTGCTTTCAAACGTTGAATTGTTGATTGACTTGTCAGCATACAAATCTCCATGAGTCACGACACATGCTGTGTGCATGTTTTAGTATTCAACTTAGTGAAATACACATAAATGATGAATTATATTGCAAAACTACTCTAAAGCTACATGTACATAAGAGTAAATGATAGCCGGGGATGGTGAAGGGCTGAGGGTGAGGGTGAGGGATGGAGGGTGCAGAGGAGGATGAGGGGCGAGTGTAGGGGGAGAGGACAAGGGGGAGAAGGCCAGTGCAGAGGACAGAACCGGAGGATAGTTAGAATGCATGTCAACAAACAAATATAAAGAAATAAAAATGATGTGCTTACTGAGGACACAGCCACAAGAGACGGGAGCTGGACAGTGTTTTGGCGAAGGGGAACGGGCTGCAAGCAAGCTCAGACAGTGTGTCCAGCCCTTGCAGGGAGCTGATTTGAGTGAATTCAGCGGGGAAGGGAGGGATTTCAGGTGTGAATGCAGCGGGCTGGAGACAGAAAAAACACAGTCGCGCTTAGTGGACTGTGTAAAATGTCACAGCCAATGTCAGGACCCCGAACGTGTGCGGCCAGCGGCGAGATAGTAGACGCACCTGAGCATTTATACCCTCCCTATTCTCCTCCCTCCACTCTCGTCCTCTCCCTCGCCCGCTCCCCCTCTCCTCTCGCATTCCCAGTCTCCAGGAGATGCACTTGCGATCCCCAGGTGCGTACTTCCTCAGTCTTACTGTGAGGGCCAACGTTGGCAGCGGCGGCAGCGGGCAAAACATGATGCAGGGCCAGGTTCAATAGCTGAGGACTCGGAGCGCGGAGGCTCGGATCCCTCACGCCTCACGCGCAATGGTCACGGTCACGCATGTGACCGGACCATGTAAACAAGCAGGTTCAGACCCGCTTCTCTTCCTGCACTGCTTCTTTTCAATAAAACTTCTCTTTCTCAGCATCTTGGCTCTCAATGACAGCAACTCACATAAACCAGATAAATTTCAACCCTGCTGTCCTGTCCAGTAAGCAGGAACATGTTGTCACTCAACCAGATGTTGAGAAGTCTTTTATTTTCTGGATCTGGTCTATGGAGGAAAAAAGGAATGTGATTACCAGGGCAATGCTTCTAGAAAAGCAGAAGATCTTTGAAGAACTTTACATTCCAGAAGTGGAGCAATTGGGCGATCGATGGTGGCTGAGTTTCCTGAGAACATGAGTCAAATCTTTCCAAAGTTTTACAAAACCTTATTCTGTTTCAGTTATGCCTTGCAAGAACATTGTTGGCATGGGGAAGCAGGATCTGTTAACTCTTCTGTGGCTGAAAGAGGGTGCAAGAGAATGCGCTCATTTTGTACAAAATGGGTCCCATAAGACATCTTCAATCTGGATGAGACTGGCTTGTTTGGGCAGTGAGTTTTCATATTGCTGTCCATGTGTTTTAATTATAAATTTGAGCCACATTTAGACTTGAGCCAGATTGTGGGTTACCCACTAAGGCTTTTCCAGGAAAGAAGGTCAGCAAGAAGCAACTGACCATTGCATTTGCAGTCAACAACAGGGACTGAGAAGCTAGCCCCTTTTTTCATTGGTCAATACAAGATGCTGTTTTGTTTTTGGAAAATTTCTACCAAGAAAAGAGGTTTTATTATCAGAACAACAAGAATGCTTGAATGACTACTGAGTTTTTTGAAGAGTTTGTCAACCACTTTTATTACTTTAAAAATATACTAAAATCCTTTTTCATTCTAAAAAATGGGTTAAGCTCCAGGATCTCAAATTCAGGAGGCAGGGATGCAAAATCCTTTTGCTCCTGCTCAACAATCTTGCAGGGCATATCATCCCCTACAAGCTCTCCAACATCCAAATCAAGTTTTTTGCTCCTAACATGACATCACATGTGCAGCCACTTGATGGTGAAATCATCTGGTGTTTCAAGGCTCACTACAGGAGGGGTCAATGTTGCTGAGCAGTTGAACTCAACAATGCAGAAGAGACATATCTCTACAAGATCGACCAGTTGAAGGTCATGACATTAGCAAAGCAGGCTTGGGAAGCAGTCACTCCAGAGATGATTGCTGCCTGCTGAAAGCACACACAAAAATTCAAGTGCAATGTTTCAGATTTTGTATTGAACCATATTCTAATTTTATTCAGCAGTGTTGTGACAGCTTTTAACTCTAACACTTCCCCATGAGAGGGCCAAGAAAGTCAATGCATGTGACCAACAACACAACTTTTCTAGCCTGAGTGCACAGAGAATCAGTGGTGATTGTTTCTTGTTCTCAACCACCACCATCTCTTGTTTGCTGCTAGCACAAATCTGCTTGCTCATTCTCTGCTTTTTCTCTTCACCACCCGTTCTCTCCTGCTCCTCTGCCACTCCCCGTCATTCTCCCCAGTACTGCTTGCGGTGGTCGCAAGGTGACTCCCCCTCCCACTCCGCTGGACTCTACTCTGGGTTCTCTGATTTCTCAGCCTTCATCTGGTGCTAATAGCCCTGTTTTGGTGGCCTTGAATGATGACACAATCATGGATGCAGCGGAGCTTGCGCCTCCCATTCCCTTCCTCTCTGAGGTTGCTAGGGACGAGGGGGTCAACACTCTGCCTGCAAACAGGTCCAGTCACCCGGATACACCTCCCCCAAGCTTTGGGGGCCTGGACCATCAAGGCGTGCATTTCATTCACTGCCGCATGCCTTCTGGATCCGATTCAGCCGCTCCTCCTTTGAAGCATGCCAACACAGGCAAGGAGAGGGCCGTGGATCCTCCCTCACCGCCAATTGAGGGTGCCATTTCCATTGCGGCTCCGGTTGTGGGCATTCCTCACTCTCTGCCGCGCCCTTGCATCTGCTTCCAGGCTCCACTGGAATCAGATTCAATCTCGATCACTCTGGCTTCCTCGATCTTGGGCACTCGCGTTCTCCGCAAGGGATTCCCTCTGCCTGCTTCGGTTGCCCCAGCTCGGGCGGTGCACATTCCTTCCACGGACTGGGTTGCTGTCTGGGATGTCATGGACAATGAGGACCGGGCTTCCCTGTCCCATGTTGTTATCGCTTGCACTCCCCCTGCTCCTCCTCCCCCCGCGGCTCCACCACATGCTGCCTCCAGTGAGTTTCCCTCCTGTCCCCAGTTTCCACCAGGGCTCTTCCCTCCTCACCTTTTCCAATGTTTGCTTACCTTCCTACCTTGCAGCCTTCCCGACTGTGAGCACTTCTTGCATTTGAATGTCCAGAGTGCCTGCGCTGCTGCCACACCTGCCCTGGCTGCCGCTCCTGCACCCTTTGCGCATCCCGCGCCAGTTATTGCCCATGTGCTGGCTGCCATGCCCACACTGGTGGCAGCTGCAGTTCCGTCCCCTCTTGCCCATTGCCTCCCTACCACGCTGTCCCAGCTCAGTGGGCTTACCCTGCCCATCCCTCCAAAAGTTGTGGCTGCCATGAAAGTCAGGTGGGTCACCCACATCACCCTCACAGCTCTCACAAACGAGGCCCTGCAGGGTCTTTGGAATAACACCCACAACGAGCGCATGGCATCCATTGCCTCTACCGGTGTGCTCACCATCATGCCTACCATGTGGGACCTTGCGGGTGAATTGGCTCTGACAATCGTGGAGTGGATGCATTCCTACCCTCGCCTCTGCTCTGCAATTATTACAAACACTTCCCAGAGCAGGACCCAGGCAATGCTCTTCGCTGGGCTTCCATTTGGGAGGAGCATGGTTGCATGATCCACGTCCACCCTGACCTTTACAAGGAGGGGCATTGGACAGTCTTCCTGTGCTATGACATTGAGGTGCGGCATAACCTTGCCAGCGGCTCTGAGGATTTCAATCCCTTGGTCTGGCAGGAACATGTCTGGAATTGCCTTGTCACTGAGTGGCAGATGGACTGGGTCAACTAGCTGCTTGTCCTCCAGGCTGCGCAGGCGGCTCAGGTGGCTCTGCCTTTGCAGCCGTCCTCCACTCCCGCCACATTTTGTGGCACCATGTCGGCCTCCTCGACTCGCTCCCAAGCCACATGCTCCTCTCCTTACACCTCCACCTCCACTGTCTCCCCCACGCAATGCTGCATCTTCTGCAGCGCCATCAGTTGCAGCAACTGCGCTTGTGGCACCACCTCCACCGTGTACCTCACCTACCGAGACGGCAAATGGACAACTTCTGCCAACAAGTCAATTTGCTTTGCATTCAATGGTGCCGCAGGGTGCGCCCGCCAACCCTGCAAATTCCTGCCTCGATGCTCTTGATGCGGGTCAACTCACTCGGCTCAAGCCTGCACTTGAGTCAGGCTTACTCAAAATTGTCACACCCTTTCTCTGGGAGAAATGGGCCGTGGCTCTGGACGACGCTGGCGTTCTCCACAACTTTGCAGATGTTCTGTTTGGCCTTTGAGATGGTTGGCATCTTGGGGTCTCTTTCCCTCTCACTCAGACTTTCACACCTCCCAACCACTGCTCTGCGCTTGAGCATTCCGATTTCATTCTCAACTACATTAATTCTGAGGTCCACGCCAGTTGCTACTCCGGTCCGTTCACGCGCGATGAGCTCAAGGCTCTTGTGGGTCCTTTTTGCACCAGCCCTCTGGGCGTCATCTCCAAGCCGGGTTCTTCCAAGTTCCATCTTGTTCAAGATCACTCTTTCCCGTGCAACAATCCTTCTCTCCCTTCTGTAAGCTCTGGCATTGACAGTTCTGCTTTCAAATGTGATTGAGGAACTTTTGCCGACTGCTTCCTGCTCATCGCTAACACTCCTCCCAGTACACAGGTTTCTGTGAACAATGTTGAAGCTGCGTATTGCTGCTCCCCCATCGCGCCCAAAGACCAGCCTTATGTCTGTGTATGTATTGACCGCAATGGTGTTCCCCGTTTTTATGTTGATCACACCAGCTGCTTTGGCTGCACCAGCTCTATGGGGCTCTTCAGCCGCCCGGGCAACACCATCATTTTTGTTGACTGCATGCGCGCCTCCCTCTATTGCTTCCGTACAGCCTTTCACGCCCACACATTCACACTCCACGCTATCCCCTTGGCTGTTCTCACTGATATCCACTGGTGGCGAGACCAGATTTCAGCTGCTTTCTGTGGCTCCTCCGTCACAGCTCCACCTCCACCTTTATCCCACAAACTATATGGAGATGCCTCTACATCCTTTGGCATTGGCTTTGTTCTCAACGGCCGGTAACCTTGCCTGGTTTTTACTCGATGGCTGGCGCTCGGACAATCAGGACATTGGCTGGGCAGAAATGGTTGCCATCGACTTGGGGCTTTGCACCCTGGTTACAGCCGGCTTCCGTGACTGCCACATCATCTTTTGCTCCAACAATCAAGGTGTGGTGGGCGCTCTTCGTGCTGGTTGTTCTCGCAACACTTTTCAGAATGTTATTCTGTGTCACATCATCTCCAATTTCTGTGCATACAACATATGGGTTTCTGTGGAATGGGTTCCCTCCATGGATAATCTCGCTGATGATCCCTCTTGAGGCGTGTTTTTTCCCTCTCTTAAGTGTTTTGGCTTCACGCCCTCTATTCCATCCTATCTTAAGAACTTTGTATTGCTTGCTACCTAAATAGTCATGCATTCCTTGCCTTTGCACTTATAACTGGTGTGATTCCCTCTGAATCTTTCATGTTTTCCCCCACTCCCTCTTTCTCCCTCCTCTCATGCTCTTGCGTCCAGCTGGCTCTGGACAAAGCCTGGGCGGACTCCATGCACAAATAGTATAATGCCGGCGTCCAATCATTCCTCACCTTCTGTGATGCCAAGCTTATTCCCACAGACACGTGCGTTCCTTTTTCAGAATACCTTCTCTGTGCCTTTGCGGTTTCTCACATTGGACTTCTTGCCAGCTCCACAGTGCGCGGTTGCATCGCTGCTCTGAAAGCATGGCACTTGTATCTCGACTTGCCTTGGCATGGGGGTCCTCATCTGAATCTCATTCTCAATGGGGTCAAAAACTCGATGCCCTCATCCTCTCGCCACCCACTCCGTCCGCCCGTCACTTGCAACATGCTACTCTCTCTATCCTCTCTGCTAGATCTACACTCATTCCTTGACTCTGCTGTACTTGCTGTCGCAACAGCCACTTTTTATGGGCAATGCTGCCTCGGCAAAATTCTCTCCAGCTGGGAGGACACCTTTCTTGATGGACACACTGTGCTTACCTCCCACTTGTCTGAACCTCTCAGCTCTAATCAATCCAGGAAACTCTTCTTACCTTTCACGAAGGTGTCAAAGTCACGCGGCAAGTTTGTTTATATCTGCAGGCAGGCTGATGCTTCAGACCCCATCTCAGCTCTCAAACACCATCTCCTCATCAACTCTCCCCCTTCTGAGGTTCCCCTCTTTTCCTATCAGCTGTCTCTCCATGGTTGATGGAAATGCCTCACAAAACAGAAATTCTTGTTGCAGTGCAACACTATCTGGTGCTCTACGGGATACAGCTCGTCTTCCAGCCACGTGTTTTGCATTGGTGGCACCACAGAACTGTTGTTGGCAGGTGTCCCACCTGACGTTGTTAAAATGATGGGTTGGTGGTCATCCAATGCCTTTCTATGCTACTGGCGTTCTCTCAAGCTCTTGGCTCCCTTAGACGTCGAGCTACTGGCACCCGCAATGCCGGCATTGGCTGTGCCTGCTGCTCCCCTTTCATTGATCAGTTGCTTCCACTGGTGTGACTTTCCTTCGTAGGTAGCCTTGCCTTCCTGTGGTCTGGGTGGTTTGAGAATGTCGCGTCCGCGGTTTCACTTGTCCGGGGTTTGGGCTGGACTGGTTCCAACTTGACACACACCCAGATGGAAGGCGGCCCGGGGTTAGCATCCAAGGCTCGGCAGTTTCAGCACATCCATTTTGTTCAGATTTTGGTGCCTCATGCTGTTGTAGCACGGTAGCTCACCTCGGTCATCACCCAACCTCCCCCACATCACGGCCTTGGTGTCATAAGCACTCCCTCGTGTTGTAGTTGTTAGTCTCATTCATGTATACACACATTCACTCTTGATTCACAAGCACTCGATAGGGTAGAAAACTTAGGAACTCAGTGGCATGGGAGATTGTGTTGGATTTTGTTCATGGTGATAGTGAGTTGCCAGTTGTGCAGAAAAAGCTTGAAGATCTGCTTGGAGCCTCTTACTGGTGTAACAACTGGAAACCTGCATGTGATGCAGTGTTTCTTGCAGAGGATGACACTATGCGGCTGTGTCAACTGTTTTTGCACTCAAGTAGAAGTTTGTGCAGCTGGATTCAGGTTGTCCAATCCAGATTGTCCAGCTTTATGAGTTCAAGAACAATCTGCAAGAGTTTGTCTCCAAGCTGTGTTAGCAAAAGAGGATTATTGGGACTACTCCCACCCTTGATAAACTTCTGAATCCAGTTCACAAACAGAAAATTGGAGCTGCACAATACAATTTCCCAAATGGGGATGTAAACATCACCAAGGAGGTTCCTACTGGTTCTCTTGAATCAGAAGAACTAGATTTGGATAATGACAGTGACAGCATGGTTGCCACTGTGCTGGTTGGTGAGGCACTTGACTTGTGTGCCAAGCTCAAACAACTCTGTGTTTTGTTCCCAGAGGTTAATGCTGACAATGTGTTTGACTTGCAGCGGCATGTCCGCCACATACATGAAAAACTCTGGGCCCAGGAGCAAGTGAGCCTCAAATAAGCTACACTCAGGGCCATGTGGGCAGTCCCTGGCCCTTCCAAATGATTAGTGGCAACTTAGAATCAACTTAGTATAGCTCAAAAGTAATCAAATTGTGTGTTTTTTTGGTCCATTTTGGCTACTTTTTGGATGTTTACTCATAGTGCATAATCACTCATAATGCATAAGCAGACACAGGAATGTTTGCTATGCATTATGAGTGATTCAACTGTATATCAGCCATTGTATACAAGCTCATATGCAAGGCATATTAATATGTGTATATATTGAATACAACACCCACTATCTTATTTTGTCCCGTTTCATGTTTCAAAGCAGAGAGCAATGATCTATGATGATGCAATTACCATATCTTAATTGGGATAGCAGATGATCTTTAGGGATTTTATTGATTCTCTCCAAGTTCACATCTGATTTAAACGGGGTGCAAAAAATCTATTTTTGCAGGGGAAAAATATTCAGATGTAATTGACAGGTAGCCAGCAATCTACAAAACATTGAATAACATGCAAACAGGACTCTAACAAGGAGAGTGGCAACATGATCATGGTCAAGTAGCAAAGGCCTCACTGTCATTGGATCTATGGTCACCTGTGTCAAAAACACCTCTTGCTAGCCCTAACTCGGACAAACAACGCATTATTTATCACATTCATTTTTGACATGGCCAGGCTTTGGCCTTATCTATTACATAAGCAGGCACATGACCAAGCACGTGATGGGTCTGGACTATGACATCATATGATGCAAGGATCACACAATATGGTGTGCTTGTATTACTAAGTACTTGTATTCCTAATTAAGCAGGAGCCCTAACTTTAGTTACATGGTCTGTGCGCAGCTGTCCAGTAGTATATAAAACTGCAATCAATGACCCAGGACTTCAAGAGAGTTCTTTTGGGATTTCCCCTTAGCTTTATTTGTAAACCTAAGTCTCAAGTCCTCTTGTTGAGGCATCTACTTCTGCCCAAGCCTCATCTAGGGTTAGGGTTAGTTTTTCTCATCATCATCACTTCCTGTTCACATGTGCAGTGACTCCCCTAGCTAAGGGTTGCTCACAACCTGGCTGCACAGCAACATCAGCAGTGCTCTTGCAAGAGACATGGGCATTGTACAGATTGTCCCTGTGAGATATCAGTCTAAAGATCAAAAGATGCTAGGTAAAACATACCCAATTCAGTGAAGATCTTGATGAGTTTAAGTTGCAGCACCTTGCTGATTAGGTTCCTTCTTGTCCTGGAAAGCAAATAAAAAGTCATCTCAACATTGATGAATGCAAGCTTACCTTGGTAGTGACAGACAAAAAACAAATGTGCTGGTACTGGTGCTCATTAATGTCACTAAAAATGATCATTGACTTCAAAGTCAAACTCAAAGTCATAACCTTCACTTGCAGTGTGCTAGTTAGAAGCTGCAACAATTTCAGTATTAGCCACCTGATTTGCATGCTCCCTCATGATATGGTTGAGGTTTTTTTTTGAAATGTTGGAGGAGAGATAAATCTTCTGAACCTGTCAAAAATCCTTGGATTGATAGAGTAGAGCCTGCTGGGGCTGCCTCAGCAGTGAATACAAATGTTGATGGGTTTGGCCATTAAATATGTGAGCATCTTGTCAATGGTGACTTTGTGACATCCAAGTAGGCTAGACATAAACATCAAATCTGTCACAACCAATAAAAGACTTGGAGAACTCACATTGCTAAGATGTCAGCCTGATAAGGTATCTCCATCATATTTCCATGTTGCTCCTGTAGCTGTGCCTTGTTTCTGTACTGTTTTATAATAATAGTCTATAGAAATATGTAAAAATGAGAAGCAAGATATCTGCACACTCACAAGATTAGTAAGCAAGCAACCTGGGGGATTGTGATGATAGAAGATGAAGTCCCCATGGTCAGTGCCAATGGAGAAAGGCAAATTGTTGGCTATATTTTGCATGGCAGTGTTTGTAGAGCAAGATGTTGTTGAGGAGCATGGTGAGCATCAGAGTGGGAGTGAGCAAGGGAAGAAGATCAGATAAAATTGCTCACTGAAATACTGACCTGGTTTCCTGCAATCACCTGCCATCACTGTACATTCAAACTTCAAGGTAGGCATGAAACACCCACTGCCCCAGAGAGGAGCTTCAAAAATGATGGCCCACTCCCCTTGCCACTCACATCATTCTCTGTGTACTATAATTTGCATTCTTAAATAAATCAAGATATACCTTTGGCTGCAAGATCATGATTAAACCACAGGAAACTTGCAGCACCTGCTATGAAGCATTCAAGCCAAGACATGTGTAGCCAAGGAGGGGGATGTAGAGGAGAGAGATGAGGGTGTGGAGGAGAGGGACAAGGACATGAAGTAGGACACAGACACCAGGGGGAGGACAAAGATGTGGGGAAGAGGTATGAAAATGTGGAGCTAGCTGTACAAGGGCAGGCTGGAGGAAGTACTATACCAAACCCAGGGGATTCTGGGGCTGGTCACAAGCATACATGGGAGGAAAAGTGGCTCCTCAACCCCTGAAAAAGGCCAAAGGTAACCTCAGTGGTGGCATTCCAAATACCATCCAAAAAATTGTCAGAGGTGTTTCAGCCAATGCAACAAGAAATCATTGGGAGAGAAGAAATGGCTTGGGTACTTGCAACAATGCCTGAGTTCCCTCTTCATCCATTGGCCAGTTCACCTTGGGTACACATATTGACATCATTGTCATTGTCATCTTCAATCTCCCAAGCAAGCATCTATGTGGGTTTTAAAACAGTGAATATGCACAAACAGATCATCAACAATCACTCACCTTGAATGTACACAGGTACCCATCAATCTCAAGCTTACAGACCCTATACTCGCAATGCCACCACTGCTGCTCCCTGCTCACTTATCAGCACTGGGCATGTATGTTCCTTTCCATGCACCATCAGCTGCTCAGCTTTGTGCACCCTTGAAGGCTCTGGCCCAGGAACCCTCAAAATCTTGTGCACCATTGATGGCACCATTCAATGCACCATCAATGGCTCTATCTTGTGCACCATCAGTGGCTCCACTGACTAGAGGTCCTGGAAGGGTTGTGAAAATACCTCATCAGCTCACAGATCAAGTACATACACACACTACCAAGCTATGCAGGCTTGCCAATGAAGTATCTTGTTTGAAATGGAAAATCTGGAGTGGTGGAGATACCAGCACTCACCCACCTGAGTGTCACAAAAATAAAGGCTTTTGAAGCCTCTTGCGGTATTAGGCCATTGCTGGCTTTACAAGCTTGGAAATGAACTAGCTGAGTACCTTCACTTGCTCCCAGAGTGTTGCGGTGTTTGATGACAGAGCTATTGCCATATACATACAGTTCCTTCCATCAAGTCCCTTGCCCTCCACATTAGCATTAGATTAGATTAGATATCAACTAAAACATATGATAATGACTTATGTTCCTGTCTGACATCATCCAGGATGTCCAAGTGCCCTTCTCCTGCCTTTCTGCCCTCTTGGTTCCTATACCCAATGTGTCCTGACATGCACCCTGGCCGCCAATTCCCATTTCTCCTTAGCAAGCATCTTTCCACCATTCCCCTCAATGCTGCTGATGCTGCTGAGCCCCCTTTTCCACATATACCTAGTAAGCCTCCTTCTCACATTTGCATTATGTATTTTAACATTCCTCTGCCATTTGCATGGCTATGCACACTCTCTTCACTGTTAATCATGTGCACACTTCTTCTGTACCCACAGCACTTGTGCCCTGAGATGCTCCAAGATTTTGGAAGCAGACAATGCAGCCTGGAGCATGAGTCAGGATGCCAAGCACATGTTTGGGGCCTTTGTGAGATTACATGATGTTTCACAAAAACTTTTCCAAGTCCTGCATTGTATGAGACAAGATGTGAAATCACTTATATTTTACTTATGTTCCACTATAGTCTCACATTAAACACTTATATCAAAATAGCAAATTATACTAAGATGCCAGTGATGCTACAATAACTACTAAAATATATCTAAAGAAGTGTCATCATTAAGTAGATCAGAAAAATAGCTTGAGGATGTAGTTGACAACATTGAAGAGTCTAGTGTACTATCAGTATATGTGAGGTCCATGCCTTGTGATGTATAAGGAGAATGTACATTAGCATTAGCAAGTGCAGACACCTGCACATATAGGTATTGAGTCTGCGGGAAGATTGTGAATAGCAATGGCAGCAGTGGTGGCATGCATGATGGAGTAAACAACACTGTGGAGATACTGGTTGAGGTAGCTGACAACAAAGTGCAGGTGTTGAGGGTGTGGGGGTAGGTTAGACTACAGTGCCCATATGCCTCCCCTTGGTGATCTTTGGTTTTGCTGCTAGCATGCACTGGTCCTCAGAGTCCTTGCAAGATGTCCATTCCTCGTTGGAAAGCTCCCGCCAGAAGCAGTCACCCATTCAGATGGCAATCTCAGTCTGGTGGAGCAACTTGATGCTTGCAATGTTGTTCAGATTCATGATCTGGCCACCGGGGAACCCAACGAGCTCAATACCAAACTTGATGACAGTGCCCTCATGATCAGCCCATTCCATGTGGAATGAGTACTCCTCCTGTGGCACACCGCAACTCTGTAGTAGTTTACCTGTAAAATTGTTTGGTTAGAGGAAAAAGTTGCAATGGATTAGAATAGAAACTCACAAAGCCTGTGCAAAATCTGCTCGTGAATCAACCTCCACAGCAATGTAACCTGCTGTTTGCCAGTAAATGCAGCAAGTTGAGCAATATCTTCCACCATGTATGTGGCAAGCCGGAGCGAGAGCTCTTTGATTGTGTGTTTGAAGAACATTGAGCACACATTATCAAAATGCTTGGATGAGGAGCTGCGGGGTGTGTATTGGTCTGTGATGTTGTTCTGAGTTACAATATATGCTATCTGGCAATTGGTGGCCTGCTGGAGCTCAATCAGCTGGAAAAAAACAGACATCAGTTAAAAATGTGTGACCAACAAAAATATACATACAGAGGGCCCAACTTTCTGAATTGTTGTCTGGATGGTGTTACCAATGTGCTTGGCACAAACCTTTTTCACCAACTTCTTGGTTGCAGTCTTCTGCTATCAAGCTTCTCCTCAGGAGAAAACTTGGTCCACTGTTCCAAAACTATCTTTAAAGCAGATAGCATTGCGTTCACAAATGCACCAAAGCTATTTGACTTTGGCTAGGTCTTGGCCTACAAGTCAAACCCTAGGAAGTACTGCATCACAACTCAGGGAACTGTTCTAAAATGTACATTAGCTATCAAGGTCTGATAGACTAGAGTCTTTCACTTACTGTCTGTAGCTCTCTGCAATGCTCACCACTCCCTCCAAGCAAAACTGTGGTGATTTTGGATTTTTTCCATTATTTTCTCTCTGATTCAACTGGCTTCTTGTATCTGCTTCTTTGTTTGCTTTGGCCGAGAAACAGTGGGCGGGGTGTGGCTTCTGTAGGGGGTGCGGGACTTATGGTTGGACACAAAGCAGATGGGGGAGAGAAAAAAAAAACACTGGTAATTAGGTAAACAAAGTTTTATATGAAAGACCACAGTGGCAAACAAAAAGTCAGGGTAACATTCACATAGGTAAGTATAGCTGGTGTTCTAAACAGGGGTTAAAATGAAGGGCTGGTGTAAAGAGAAACAACTCACAAAGATAATCCAGCAGTTCACAGATGTTGATATAGCTCAGCAGCATGGTCCAAAGTCAGCCCGGCTTTGACAAACAATGCAAACCACAGCACTTTCTTCAATATAAGTACAGCATGGACCTGAACAAGTGTCCGGCTGCTGGCGCCAAGGCTCCTGAGGTAATGCAAAGTTGATGATGTTAATGATCCATTGTCAGCAGTGCAACTAGACTCAGTAGGACTGGACTCAGGGGTCTCTGAGGACATCAAGTGCTCCTTGCATGTCTTCTCTTTTTCCTTGGATAAAAATGTTTGAGGGTCCAATGGGGCAACAGATCATGAGCCATTGCTGTGCACTGTGCCTGAAGGAATCAGCACACACAAGGATTTTGCGGATGTCATAGTCTTTGTCTTGCCCTTGACTTGAGATGACAGAGATTGAGGTAAGGGCAATGCAAGAGTGGAGGAGATGGTGAGAGAGACAGTGAACTTGGTGTTGTGATGGGCAGTAGCATCAGGAACATCGAAGCCTCCTGTTTCAAGCTTGGTCAAGCTTGAAACAGCTTGGTCAAGCTTGAAACAGCGTTAAAGGCCGAAAGTGCGTAAAGGGCTCCTGCGGCGACAAGGAATGTGTCAAGTTTGTACGCAAAATCTGATTTGAGGCCATGACAAGTTATAAAAGTCAAACAGTATATTGCCCTTATCAAAAGTCTACGAAAGTCTAAGTTCTATGCGTGATGGGAATGCATCTACGATATCAGATTTAAAGAAAAAAAGCGGCGACCCGCGCTATGCACGCCTACCACACTACTCCTCGTCCTCGTCCTCGTCCTCATCCGAACCTGGCAGTTCTTCTGGCGCCGGGCTGCTCGAGGGCATCAAGAACCTACGGGCATGCTGAAGGGAACTGCTGGCAACCGATGCGCCTGCAGATGCAGGTGCATCCTCGGAATCATTACTAGCCCCCCATGCCGCAAGATACGCCGGCCAGCGGTTCGCCTTGATATTGTTGACGGCTTTCGTGTAGTCTTTGGTGGCTTGTTTGTACATCTTGAATGAGAATGTCCTTGCACCAACGCCGGACTGGTACTTCTCGAAGGCCCGTTCAACCTGCGCGAAATCTGTTAGAAGGGGGATGTAAATAGAATTAAAATACTTACTGCAATCATCGTGAGAACCACAGCACCCTTGGGCTGGTCGAACCGAATGTACGAGCCAGTCATTCGGCGGACGAGTACTCGCATGATGTTGTTGATAAAAGCTGAACGAAGGTATCCTTTCGGTTTCTCCGGGATACTAATTAGAATGGCAAGGGATACTATAGAGAAAGAAATGAAGCGTACCCGGTAATGCGGATCCTTGCGCGAGAGCTGCTGTGTCTGCTCCATTGGCGTCGGAATCCGCCAAAAGCCGGGTCCGTCTTGATGCAGCGCCCAGGTGGCGTGGTCTTGGATAGCAGCGGGGTTGCCCTCGAATGCCGCAGTAGAGTAGAAACTTTCGACGTGCGCGAGGGCGGTGCGACCAATCTCGGATTGCTTCTCATACAAGCGATCAACTGCCTGATGTCCATAGTAGATAAGACATGACCACACTACATGAGAAATAATATGACGTACCCTTTCGAATAGCTCATCTCCATTCTCCACCTTGTACCCTAGTCCCGGTACGACCATGTCGACGATAGCTTGAAGTTCTGCAACAGTCCCCGGGTCCGGAGCGGTCTTCGTGAAGATTACCCAGGGCGTGTCGGATGAGGCGAACCTGGCGTACACGGTGGCTCGAATTGATGAGGGCCAGTAGTCGAGTATATTGGTCGTTGTTTTCGTTTTGGTAACCGTGTTGAGAACCGGCTTGAGTCCCGGCTCGGTCTTGATGATGGGAAGAGTGTCGGTGATGGGCTCGGTCTTGACAGCAACACGAGCTCCACCACGACCACCGGAAGCACGAGCAGGGCGGGTTGATACCGTCTTTGGGGCCTTCTTGACTTTGGTACTGGTCGTGGTTGGCCTCCCCGCCTTCTTGATGGTAGTGGAGAGGAAGGGCTCGTTGAGACCTTCGGATGTGTCCGCCTTGCTGTCGGACTTGATGGTAATAATCTAGTAAGTCCACATTAGTAATTAGTCACGGTGTGATGAGTACGAAGCAACATACGTCGTTTTGTGGCTGAACACGCTTCGCCCGCACCGCACGAAGAGCACTCGGCCCATTGGCGTGGGCGTCATCATCGTCAAGGCCGCCGACAGCCGGTCCACTATGCGCACGGGATCCACCTGATAAAACAGGCTGCGAACGCCACACGGGCTTGAGGCCTGCCAGCGTGGACGTTGCGGCTTTCGCGGACTTGGTGCTGGTGTTCGTTGTGTTCCTGGGAGTCGAAACAGGTAAGTGCCTCCGATAGACATGTGGCAAGTGGCACTTACTTTCTCTTCCCCTTGTCGTTTGCCACCTTTGGCTCCGCTTTTGTCTTACCCTTGCGGGCTGCTGCCTCTAGCGCCTCAGCTTTTTCAAGAGTCTTCCTGTCATTTATCTGCAGCATGAAGGTGAGTAAAAGTCAGAACGCAAGCATTGAAGACTCACTCCAATCATGATCCTCTCGTAGTAGACAGGTTCGTCGTCACCAAGTCCATAGTAGACTGGCTCTCGGCCTAGGGTCTGTTGGTCCTCAAATTTGTCGAAGTCCGGGTTGTCTGAGTCGGGTGGGGCATTCGACACCTCCCCCATTGTAAGTACTACTGACGTCTTTTCCTCGCGCTCTCTAATCTCGTCTAGGTCCTCCTCCTCCTCAACCTCCGCCATTTGCACTGCCTTGGCCTCCAGATACAGTGCATGCAGCCGTGCCTTCTCATCTTCCTGTGCCCTGACCTCTGCAGAGGTTCGCTTCCGGTGGGGGGCGCCTGGCTTGCCCGGATGCTCCTGCCGTTTGCGGTCCGGCAGCGAGCGACGTGCTGGAGCGACACCGCCACGGGGGTTGGAGGCTAGATCATCAGCAAGTGGGGCCTGAGGTGGAGCAGGTGACGGAACTGTAGCTGGCAGAGTGTTCTCCGCCAGCTGCTCTGCCTTCTTTGTTCCCTTCCGCTTGCGCTGCTTGTGGTTGTGCTTTGTTGGGGTGTTGTTGGCTTGTGCCGATTCGCCCACGGTGTTACTGGCCGCGCGCCTACGTTTACTGGGCTGGGAGGGCAGCTGGTTCATGGCAGCATCAACTGCTGCAAGAAGCGAGTTGGTGGTGGACGTGGTGCGGTGGGCAGTGGGCATTGTTGCGGAGGTAGGCTTGTCCTTTCCTGCCTGCTTTTTCGCCCTTGTTTCCATTGCAGAGGATGGGATGGAGGATGGGGAAAAGCTGAGCTGCGGTTTCAGCTAACGCAAGAGATGGGCGAACGACAAGAGAAAATTTAGGCGAGTAGCTGAGGTTCAAGACATACGTGGCACAATGAGTTCTGACACATGTTACGTTTTTCTTACTCCCCACCATTCAGTCACCACTAGCGTCGCTAAACCACTTGGTTCAACCGCCCTCTCATTTCGACTTTCAACCATGTCTGCCAATACTCGTGCCACCCCCGTTGCATGCCCTCATTGCCCTCGCAAGTGCATCTCACAAGCTGGGCTTCTCCGGCACCTCAACCTTCAGCACCGGAGCGTTTCTGAGGACCTTCCAGACCCAAATATACCCCGCCCCAAGGCTACTTTTATTCCGCACCCTCATCTCAGCGGTACGTAAAAATGTTCTGGTTGTACGGTTTTTTCTAACTTCGCTTTTCAGGCCGTAAAACCACAGCAGCTGGACGCTTTCTCCTGGAGGATGAGCCTCCTCCTCCCCCTCCTCCCGCTCCCCCTGCCCACACACCTGATTCCTGGGCTCCATTTGACTCACGGGCAGAGTTTGACTTCGCGTTTGACCACTATGTGACGGCCGAGTCCTCAGCTTCCGAGATTAGGCGTGCCCTCAGCTTCTGGGATGCTGTAGTCACCCCACACGGTGATGCAGCCCCTTGGAGAAATGAAAAGGACGTCTATGACACCATCGACCAAATCCCCGAGGGCGGCATACCATGGAAGGTGTACAAGATTCGCTACAGTGGCCCTCGACCTCTGTCACCTCCGAAATGGATGACAGAGACGTATGAGCTCTGCACCCGAGACTCCCGTGCCATCCTCCATCATCAACTCGCAACACGGGACTTCGAGGACAAGATACACTATGCTCCATATCGGCACTTCAACCATGAAGGCAAGCGGGTGTTTTCGGACCTCATGTCCGGTGAATGGGCTTGGCGTCAAGCGGTATGTGAATCCCCTCCCTCTTTTACTGTTCAGCTGACGGATTTGAACTTTAGGATACCTTGGCTGATGATCCACGCACGCATGGTGCCATGTTCGTTCCCATTGTCGCCGGCAGTGACAAGACTACAGTGTCTGTTGCGACAGGACACCAGGAGTTCCACCCGGTATATATGTCACCGGGAAACCTATCAAACACGGCGCGTTGCGGACATACCAACTCGGTATTGCCTGTGGCCTTCCTTCCAATCCCTCGCAGTAAGTAGAGCTTTCCTGCTCATTACCTTCGCTAATGTTGTCCCTAGCCAAACGGAAGCACCGTCAGAAGCCCGAGTTCCAAGCCTTCTGCCGGCAACTCTACCATGAGGCACTCCGAAGGGTCTTCCAGCCGCCAGCGGCTGGAATGGAGACCCCAGAAATTATTAAGTGCCCGGATGGACACTTCTGACAGGCGATCTATGGTCTCGGACCATATATTGCTGACTACCCCGAACAGGTTTGGCTGTCGGGAATAGTCTCAGGCTGGTGTCCCAAGTAAGCTGTTTTGTTTTCTGACATTTTCTAAGCTGACTTTATACAGGTGCGATGCGAAGCCAGATGCGCCTGATGATCCGGATGCTCGACGACGGACATGCGATAAAACGGACCACTACTGTGCCCGACTTGATACAAACGCCCTGTGGACAAAATATGGGATACGACAGGATTATCGGGTAAGTACTCTTTCACGTAGTGTCTTCGAGCATTTAGAACTGAATTTCTGAAAAGCCATTTATGCATCATTTCCCTCGTGCCGACATCCACGAGCTATTATCCCCTGATCTCCTTCACCAAGTCATCAAGGGCACTTTCAAGGACCACATTGTTGCGTGGGTCAACGCGTACCTCAAGATTGTCCACGGCGAGACACAGGGCAGTGCTATCATCGATGAGATTGATCGTTGGTATGTGCTCCACTTTCTTAATTGGCCCGTCCGCATCTGACATCTCCTCAGAATCAATCTAGTACCCTCTTTCCCGGGGCTACACCGATTCCCCGACGGTCGGGATTTTGAGCAATGGACAGGTGACGACAGCAAGGCTCTCATGAAGGTGTGTACGCTGTTCTCGATGTCCTTCTCGCAATGCTTACTCCACCGATGACATCAGGTTTATTTGCCGGCAATCGCTGGCTTTGTCCCCGTCAAAATGGTACAATGCCTCTCAGCATTCCTCGACTTTTGTTACATCGCGCGTCAGAATAGCTTGTCCGCTGACGATCTCGACCACCTCGACACCGCCCTTTCTCGTTTCCACAACCTTTGATCTATCTTTATTGATACCGGTGTTCGCCTCAACAGCATATCGCTCCCACGTCAACATTCACTCTTCCACTACCGGTATTCAATTATTCTTTTTGGGTCGCCAAACGGGCTGTGCTCGTCGATTACCGAGTCAAAACATATCATCGCCGTCAAGAAGCCGTGGCGACGATCGAATCGATTCAAGGCCCTTTATCAAATGCTTCGCATCTTGGTCCGGCTCGACAAACTTCATGCGGCAAGACACTTGTTCGAAGAGCGCGGGATGTTGGTCGGCGACACATCAAGTTATCAATGAATGCTTCTCAGTGGCGAATACCCTACCCTCCCGATAGTATTCTACCTGTCCCCGTGGATTCGGAAGAGGACCAACTGCCCATGACTGGACCCAAGGTCATGTCGGCGATTGAGTTGGCCCATACCCGCAGTAAGTGCAGTTCTTATTTCTCGAACATCGCTGCTCATTCTTGTATAGAGCGTGCGTTTGCGTATCCACGCAATGTTGTTGACCTCGCCGCCACAATTCACCAGCCCACTCTTCCATCCCTGATCCGCCGCTTTCTGTTCGATCAGTTATATCTGCATCACGATCACGCCATTAGCCCGGTCCCAATCGAGCAGTACCCTGAGTTTTCTGGGCCTGTGTATGTCCGGCACTCTGCCATTGCTCGCTTTTGGGCACCTAGCGACTACTGTGGAGCCGGGGGGATGCAACGTGAGTGGATCTGATGTCATCCCTGCTGGCGAGGCCAGTATGCGCGACGCGACACAGTTTTCATCGAGATGGACAGCGAGAAGCCGGGTATGCGAGGCATGGCAGTAGGGAGGGTATATCTCTTTTTTTCGGTTGCACGCAAAGGTAGGGAGTACCCATGTGCTCTTATTCATTGGTTTGTACCCGTAGGAAATCGGCCAGACCCAGCGACTGGGATGTGGGTCGTTCGCCCCGAGTACCTTGGAAATCGGCCCAACATGGCTGTCATCCATCTCGATTCCATTTCGCGAGGCGCGCACCTCATCCCAGTGTACGGTACCGCAACTCTACCAGAGGAGTTGCAGTTTCATGATTCATTGGACGCGTTTTGTACTTTCTATGTTAACCGCTGGGCAGATCACCACATGCACTCTTTTATGTATGGTGACAATTAGCGTATATTACTTGATTTCTACTGAGTGCGATTCGCCGCGTGATAAGATAACAAACTTTCCGACTTTTCTCCCTGGTCTGGCTTGCGGCTTGGTCTACCAAGACAAAGGGCATTAAAAGTAAGAAAAGTCCGAAAAGATGACTGCGAAGTTCCTGATGAGGTTGCCGGAGAGAAGGGCTGAGGTATTATAGAGGGTGATAGGTGTATTAGAGTTGTAGTGGTCATCAACAATGAAGTCTTGGCTATGTTCTCAATGTGGCTTCAAGGACAAGACAGATAACAGGGTCGTGGAATGCAAGGCCAATGCAGAAGGAGCATGAAGGGTGTCTGAGTAGTAGTGCCTTGATGGTGATGGTGTTACAGGAGTAATATGAGGAAACAGTGTGGCACTGGAAAGAGAGGAAATTGTGGAGAAGGTGGATGGTTGCAACAAAACAGTAGAAGAAAGAGTGTGTTGTTGAGAGCAGGGCTGAGGTGCAAGGTGGGGTGGGGCCAAAAGTGGGGGTGGCTTTGAAGAAGGCTAGGAGGGTGTAGCAGGCAAGGGTGGCTTGAAAGGGGCTGCAACTGCAAAACAGATGTGGACATGGACATGGATGTGGGTGCAGGTGGTTGAGACAAAGACAATGTTTTTTGCATGGAGAAGCAACCATCAACTATCACATATCCACCCCCAGGATCAACAGAACAAAGGTGTGTACCAAACATCCAGATGTGTTTGGTGGCAATGTCATTGCGGATGATGGCTTCAAATCTGGTGATTGCAGATTGAATGTAGGGATTGAGGTTGGCATGGTAACTGGAAAATGTTTCAATCTCAATGCATGAGTTGTCAAGAGGAGTATCAGGATCTTATCTGGGGCACACAGCAAAACCAATGAAAAAACCATCTGTCATATGAGACATAGTATTTACCTATATCATGGAATTAGTGCTGGAGCATATATGAGAGCAAAGCATGCACTGAGTCCTCCATATTAAAGACAAAGTCAGATCATACTGCATATTGATTGCCTGGTCTCCCGCAGAATGAGGAATGAAGTTGTGTTGAAGCGTTGATGTCACTGGTGGTCAGGGCTGCTGCTGCTGCATGGCCTGCAAGGCAGCGGCAGTGATAACATTCACAGCAGATGTCAATTCTCAAAAGGTGTGGGTCCTGGCTTTTAATCCAAGAACAAATGTTGTTGAGATGACATGAGGTTGAAGGAGTGGGATGCAGTGGAGTGTGGTCAACAGGTAAAGACATATGTGGATGAATCTGCATCAAACTGACCTTATCAACATCCATGCATCCATCATGCAGCATGCATCCGCAGAACAGTTCTGTACACATATTTTGATGAACCACACTGCTTCTCTTGAATCACACCACATGCCCAATACATGACGTGAATTCCATGACCTTTTCACTTCTAATAGGAACCCATGTGTAATACTAGTTCATGTTTTCTACAAAAACTGAGAGATCATGCATATGAGCATGAAGATTGTTATCATCAAAATATACCTGATCATCCAATCCACCCTTAGGAGAATGCCCTGCTGCTGATGAAATTTTGAAAGCCCTTACACCTGTGTATCCAGGCAAGCACTTGAACTTGTGCAACTTTTTGAGATGGATCTCATTTGCACAAAGATACCTTGCAAAGTGGGCTGTTAAGGCTGTGGCAAAGGGGGACTTGCTTTTTTGGAGATGCTTCTTGTGCTGTCTGATATCCACATTCTCAGCAAGAACCCATGCTCAAAGCTGTTGAACCTTGATATTCAACCATGTGATCTCCTCCCTTGCCCATAGTATCTTGTAGTACTTTGTAGCCACATTTCAGCTAATGGGCTTTGTCCAAGGCTGTTTGCAGATGTCTTGTTGAAAGTACAAGTGCTTTAGTATGTTAAGCTTGGAAAGGAACATGTACTGGATGATGTTATCCCATCTGATCCACGCAGCTGGCAGATTCATCCTTGCTACAAGTGTGTTGTAGTGTTTGAGGGTAATGCAGATTGGGTACAATTGTTTCTGGATTGCCTTCCCAATGGATGTCCACATCTTATATACTGTAGAATAAGTGTCAGTCAAATCTGAGGGATAGGTACAGCAGTAGAAGTTTATCTATCTTGGCAATATGTGTTTTTGCAAGCTCTTAATAATGAAGAGCTGGAGATCTTTGGAGGCTGCATAGAAATATTGATGTTGAAGGTAATCAGCTGCAGCAAGGTACTCAGGTGAGGATTTTAACCACATCTTGGTGATACAACAACATGTCTTGAGGTCAATGATGACTTGGCCACAGATTACAAGTTTGTCAGTGGCATGCCAGTGCACGTTCTCTAGTATCAGTGTCTTGCTTGCATTGTGCAAGTAGTCAATGTTGTCTATTGTGTGCTTGAATGGCTCAGATACATGCTGCCACTTGATGCTAGTGATTTTGTTAGTATGTCATCAATGCTGAATAAATAGGGGACACACTCTGCAGTCAGTCGCTTTTGCTAAGGCTTTAAACCTTGCTACTATTATTAAGTTGCTGACCCATTATGCAAAAGGTACGTTGTTGTTCGATTAATTGTCCACAGACTGAACTTCAACTGCTTTTTCACAAGCCCTCAGAGCTTATACGTATTCAGCACTGAGTTATCATTCATCAGGCTCCTCCTTCAGGTTTATCAAGAACAAGTGCTTGAGGTCAAGCCATATGCTGATGTCAGCCTCAGTGATTGTCAAGCAATTGCATAGCTCCTTGACAGCCGGTGTGTAATTGGTGATGAGTGTGAGCACCTGGCAGTACTTCTGATACAGAAAATTAGCTATGCAATGTGTTAGCAGGGGAACAGTAAATACATGACAAAAAAACTTATGGAAGTCACCATATCTGCCATTGTCTCTGTTGAAAGTGGAGGTCAAGACTCTGAAGGAAATAGAATGACAAGGCATAACAGTTAACATCAGTAGAATTTGATGAAGAAAAGACATGCTCCATGACCTCAAAGTCTGAGAGGCCAGTGTCAGGGAGATAGAGTGGATGGAACCTGAGCTGACATAGCCAACTGTGTGTTTACTCATGGAAGGCATTCACATAGATCTTGAAATTGTGCTTGTGCGCCTTGTCACGTAAGAGAGGGCTCAAGTCAACAGTCTTGCTGAATGCACATCCAGTATCCTGCCCAAGGCCAATATTATTGCCATGCATGTCTGTGAACAGCCCTTAACTAGGGGAGTCACTGTACATGCAAACAAGGAATGATGATGAGTGAGAGAGACTAATCCTAACCCTAGATGGGGCTTGGGCAGAAGTAGATGCTTTGATGAGAGGACTTGAGACTTGGATTTACAAACAGAGCTAAGGAGAAATCTCAAAAAAAAAACTCTTGGAGTTCCAGGTCATTGATTACAGTCTATATATTATTGGACAGCTGAGCACAGACCATGTATCCAAAGGTAGGGCTCCTGCCTAAATAGGAATACAAAGTACTTAGTAATATAAGCACACCATATTTGTGATCCTTGCATCATATGATGTTATGGTCCAGACCCATCACATGCTTGGTCACATACCTGCTTATATAATAGATAAGGCCAAAGCCCAGCCAAATCAAAAAATGCAATAAATAATGCATTGTTTGTCCAAGTTAGGGCTAGCAAGAGGCATTTTTGATGGCATGCCCTTGAGGACATCATCAATTGGATCTGTTGCATGGTGGTTGCCTTGATCAAACTGTGAGTGCAGCTCAGTAGTGCACTCCTAATGGTAATGCATCCTCTTGGCACTCTTGGAATGTTGCCAAAGAGCTTGGATCTGGGGACCAATTGGGATAGTAGTGAACATGCACCGAAGTACCTTCTTGTTATGACTAGACTTGCAAGATTCATAGCGGTCCTTGCCACATGTTGGACACTTTTCAAAGGGTGCAAATGGACCAGTATATGCCAAGCAGGTATTGATGCACATGGTGATATTTTGTAGTGATCACTGTTAATATGAGCATTGCAAAGAAGATGGAAACATTCCTCAGTAGTGCATGCATTTTTGAGTGCAGCAGTTTGAAAGAGCTCCGGCATTCTCCTCTGTGTAAGTCAAAAGGGCATGGTTGTTGGAGGGAGGTGGCAGAAGCAGATCCTTGGAGGCAGGTGAGGGAGTAGGTGGACAGCAGTCCTCCTCAACCTCATAGTCTGGTTGCATTGCATGAATCTGGGCATGCTGAAGAACTTCCTCTTTGTCTTTACCACCTCCATGCTCACCCTTGCCTTCCTCATCCCCATGCTTGCTCTCTGGTTGCATATCCCCTTGCTGCTGCTGCTGCTGCTCCCCTTCATCCAGCATATCCAAATTGCAGTCTTCAGCTTCAATGTTCACAAGTCTGTCTTGGTTGTTATCATCCTTTAAAAAATTGGGGTGTGCCAGTTCCTCAAAGAAGAATGTCTACTAGAAGAGCAAGTTATGTGAGTATGGGCTGAGCATTGTGAAGCGCACCTGTGCTCCCTCTGGGTTTGAATCTACAGTTTTCTTATCTTTGTTATGCTGGTGCTTGTCCTGCTTGTCCTCTACAAATGGTGGGGACAAGTGAAGGTGTTACAACATCCAAAAAGTGAGTAAGGTCATGAACACTGTACATACACATACCTGGTGAGCAAGAAAGCCCTCTGGTTAATTGTGTCCAGGTAAAGAGCCCTGAAAAGGCTCAGGTTGGCCTGCTGTGCATCTCTGCTTGAGTGGAGTACTCTTTCATACATCTGAGCCAGCAGTAAAATAGCAAGGGTTGGTCATAGAGGGGCCAGCCTCAGATGTTTGTGTTTGAGGAATTGTCTGGTGTAAAGTACAGAGGAAATTTGCTACTGATGTGGGAATGGCTGGTTCAGGTTCACAAGGATTGTGTTTTTTCCATGTCTTGCATGTAATGGATTGTTTGTTATCACTGTACCTGGTCCAACACCACTTGTACCTACAGAAAATGTACAAGCCATCCTGTACATAGGGATCCAAGTTGGCTTGAGGCAGTGGCTGGTGGGGTATTAAGAAAAGTTGTGGGAGAGGATGTGAGGGGATGAAGATGGCAAGGGGGTGTTGATGTGCTATGTAATCAAACTCAGGAACTTGTTTTGTTACACTCAACTGAGTGCAAACCTTGTTAACACACAGGCAATCCAATTAGGTAGATGGGTCACATTTTTGTTATAGCTGGAATGGGGTGTGCATTAGAATAGATGCACTCCAGGTTGTTATCTTATCCCACAGAGCAGGCAACTCTGTTGTCAGGCTTCAGATGCTAAGAATAACTCAGGTCAAGACTCAGGGCTATGATCTGCCCATGGCTTTATCCTTCTTCTTGTCACACCAGATAATTTTAGATTGCTTCTCATTCAGCTGTTTTTAACTGGGTTTTAAATGCCAGATAGCCCCTCGTGCCCCTTTGATTCACTGGGGCAATTGTCCATGTTTTTGTAGAAAACATTCAAAATGTTTTGATGGCCTTCTTCCTAATTGAGCAGGTCACCTTCCAAAATTTGGCATTTTGAGCAAAATATTTTAAATGTTTTTGACATGTTTTTCCTGGAAACATTGACGAATGCCCCCAGTGATTGGTCACTTTGGCTACAGGCCACATCCAAGTCAATGAATGCTAGTGTTCATCAGAACCACAATGTGTGAACCAGTGCTCAGGAATGACTAGATGAACATCCATCAGGTTGGCAAACTTGTAGATGTAGATATCCTGGTCACCATGCAGGTGAGCCTTGGGGGCTGTAAGTGCTGGGTCAATTTTGTGAAGCCATTTTGATGCCCACCAGGCCTGTGCAAAATGCTTGCCTGCATCCTCTGGATAGAAGTGGAGGTGCAGAAAAATCTATGGGTTTGCAAACTCCTAGAACAAGTTGATGTCAGTGATATAAATAGCATGTTTTTGAATGAGGGTTGACAGACTTGAGAAATCAAGACTGCAAGGTCATTGATATAATAAACATGATCCAGTTGACTTTTGCACCATGTGGTTGGCATACCATATTGTGAATGGAAGGTGTCATTAGAGGACTTCAGGACCTTGACAGAATGGAGGTCATTGACCCTGAGCAAACTAGCCATCCATAGAATGGACTCCATTTGCAAGTCAGAGAATTTTAAGTGCAGGAGATGCTGCATGATGTTTAGGAGACATGTCTGTGGGCAAACAAGGTTATATTTGGAATGGAAAAAATTGAGTGTAATGTACTTCCTTATTGGTTCAAGGAAACCATCATAGGACTTCCTTGATGTATTTTGTGCAGGTCAGACTGAGCCTTGCTCAACTCCAGTGGTGGGGCCTGCAATTTTTATTGATCAAACAAAAAGAACAAAAAGCAACGGGAAAAAATGTTACCTTCTGAAAAAGGCTGTAAGTAGCTGTTGGTACCAAATTCAATCTCAGCAGGCTCATCTTCTGAAGAGATAGAAGCACCATCCATAAAGGCAGCCAGATTAGCTGCCATCAAGTTGACACCAAGCTGGTCCTCAGGTGGAGACATGAAACAATTGGGGTCAATGGCACCTCAGTCCAGCTCAAGTTCCCCCTCTTGCTGGACCGTATCTTCCAACACAAGAGGATGCTGGCTGGGGAAAGAACACATTTGAGCCTCTGCAGCATGCAAGAAAGCATCTGGGAGGAAGTCACCAGTTAGTGCACTGATGTACTCAACTGGATTGTTGCCAGCAGGGAGATCAGAGAAAAGAGGGGGCAGAGATGGCAGCAGCAGTGCCAAGAAAGCAGCTGTCAGTGCTGTGTGCTGTGAATGCTTGTTGATTTTTTCGTGACAACAGGTGTGAGTGAGGTCAAGCCAGCTGCTGTCACAGTGCTTACACTGGTAAAGGTAAGTGTGCTGGCCTACCCTGACCAGCCAGTCTGTGTGCAAATGGTAAGCTCTGAATGGGGATTCATACAGACATTGTTGCTCACAATTGGGGTGTTGTAGGCCTTGTAGTGCACAAGCAGCACAGAGGACACAAGGCATCATGAGGGCAAGTAAAATGGTGTCTGGAAGGGAGGAAGATGGTGGTAAGAAGGAAGGGAAATTCCTAATGGAAATATTTCAGTCTTATATTTGTTCTCCTTTGTTTCTAAAATGTATTAGTAGTGCACATGACAAGCTGCAGCCCATATAGTGCACTCTGTTTAATATTCTGCTTTGTTTACAAAAATGCTCCGCAGTAGATTACTTGTTGATTTGTCCTTACGACATATATAGACATGCTGTATCGTAGATTACCTCCTTACAAGGTTGCAACGGAGTTCTCTCACTCATGCCGCGCAACTTTTTGAATTCCAACAATTCCTTTGTGCAGTACCAGTGCTGGACCCCTCACTCTGATAGAATAAACACAACATATATTTGCATTCAGGCAAAACATAAGGGTGGGTTGAGTTAGACACATGAGCATGACTCCAATGTACCAACACAGGATGGTTGGGCTAAACAAATTATATTCCAAAAACAGATGTATTACTCCTATCTCAACACCAACCCATCCCACCCTTTGGGATTTTTCAAACCTGAGGGCTGGCCATGTATGAGTGAACATCATGTGGAGTGAAGACCAAAACCCAATTCTATGAAATGCTAGCTGGTGTCAAACTGATACCAGTTAACTGCACTAGAAAAATATACCAATATGTTTTGCCAATCTAATTAGGATACCTTGGGTGAGTGGTTGAAATAATCTTGCATACCTTTCCAAAACTTATCCAATCTAGGCACTGGATTTTATTTAAAATAAGTTATGGGAAGGTATGCTTATGATTTTGTGATATGTGGTAACAGAGGTTTAAAATATATTATGGGCACTTTATATAGCAGCCAACTCATGAACCAGACTGAGCTGTCAAATGTTGTTCAAGACCCGGGCCAATTGTAATTTTTTTGACAGCCCAGTAAAGCCAATAACCAATATAACCAGTAGAAAAACAAGAGAAAAAAGAATCAAACTATTATGATTGGACATCAAATCAAGTGTTCATCAAACACCTGTCAAATGCTAATCAAAGGACCAGTTCAATTGAATGCAGTTATTAACCCTCTTTTAATAGTTTTTTGACAGGCATTTGACAGGTTTTTGACTGGTGTTTGAATGGTGTTTGGCTGGTGTTTGATGGGTTTTTGAATGGTATTTGGCAGGTGTTTGACAGGTGTTTGATTTGATGTTTAATCATAATAGCTTGATTCTTTCTTTTCTTGTTTTTATTTATTGGTTATATTGGTTATTGGCTTTACCAGGCTGCCAAAAAATCTGCAATTGGCCCAGGTCTTGAACAACATTTGACAGCCCAGTCTGGTTGTCATGCCCATGCATTTTCAGTCAAACTCCAGTACATGTTTGCTCCTTTGGTACTGCTTTGGTATCTTCAGCAGCTATGGAGTAGATGTTGATACACTTGTGAATTATCAGTCAACACATTATCTTATGATCAACTCACTCAACATTCTTGCTGTCACTCTTCTACACCTGTCATTATTCCGCAGTTACGCCTGTCATGTTTTATATTCTTACAATCTCAGTCTTCTTTGGTGATTACTCACAATACTCCACACTTACTCATCTGGAGCTTATCCAAAGATCTGGACTTACAATATAAATAATGGTAGCATTCAACTTGTATTTGATAGTATGAATATTGATTTAATCCTGCCCCAACACCTCTGTTGTCTTTGACACTCTTTCATGTTTGTCATCTCTATCTAACTCATACTCCAAGTTAACTTGATGTTGACTTGTCATCTCCATCTTACTCTGCCATATTTAGCAGCTTCTCCTTGCTACTACACACATCTCCTTTACCTTTGCTGTCTCTGGTTCACCTTCAGTCCATCTCTATATATCTTTGTACCTTCGCTACCATCTTTGGGACACAGTATCCCTAGTCACTAGGTCGCAACTGCCACTAGTCGAGGCTGTTTTACCTTAGCTACACTAGGGAGCTAGAAAATTGTTGATTAGCTTAGCATAGCTTTGAATGGAACTATTACAAGGCCCCACTTTATTTGAGGTACAAATTGGCCTCAATTAGCTCAGTTTCAATTGAGATCTTGGCTGTCAGCCATGTTGGGCTCTCGTAGCTTAGATAGAAGGAGTGTGATTACTCAAAGTGATCTGACTCAAAAATAGAAACCGAATACACTAGATTAGGTCCAACTAAGTCACATGTACAAAATCAAGCCATGCGTCAACCGCGCTCCCACTTTTGCTCTCCCCTGCTCCTGCTCCTGCTTGTCCACGGGGCCAGCCATGCCCTATCCCCGCCCCTCAAACTCCCAATCTTGGATGCGCTATGGGTGTCGATGTCCGAACAAGTGAAGAAAGACACCTATAAAGATCTCGGGCTGTCAGTCATCAATCCTCACCTCACAAGAAACCAAGAAAGATGTACCATCAATTACCATTCAACGGGCCCAACAAAGAGAACCCATTCATGTGTGCTGCATGTGTAGAACGGGTGTTTCATGTCTGTTAGGATTTTGAGAGCTTTTTCAAGTAGTGGATCCCCAAAATCAACATACTTGCGTCCATCGGATGTGTCGACATATCCAATCACGTTGGAAGTAACAACAGGACTGTCTGTCTGTGCTAGACCCAGCCACCAAGGTGTGTACTACCTCAGGATCACCATAGTCTAATGTCATTGCATTGCTGCTAACCCCGGGCAGCTTGCCCGCTTTGTCTGATTCATAGGTTTTACTTGCTGGACAGTTCCAGGACAAGTGGCCTGGCTTATGGCATTCAAAGCACAATCCATTGTTGACATGTCACTCGTGCTCTTCTTTGCTCAGCTTGGGCTTGAAGTGTTGCTGACACCTCTTGAGCCTGTCATGATGTTCTCATTGTTATTCTCGTTGACTCAATGAGGCCATCAATGGTAGGCTGTTCATATTGAGTTCAAAGTCAAAGGGCGGTCTTTGGAAGCCACTTGGTTTGAACTGAGGACCACACTGTTGTTCTTGGTGGTGTCAGGGTTGTTCTTCCCATGGGAAGCGGTAAGGCTTGTTGTTAGTGGCTGACCTGTTGCTTCTGTGCAGGTCTCTGTTCACCATGCTATTGGCCACTTCAATGATTTTGGCAGTTTCAACAACTTCGTTGAGCCCAGATACCTCTGGGTTGAGGTGTTTGCACCATAGTTCTCATTGCATGCTGTTGTCCAAACATGTCCAGACATGCAGCACCTTGGTGCATTCATCCATTTCACCAATGATATTCCAATACCTGGTGAGTTTGTACAAGACATCTTTAATCGGCATTCCTCTCTGATTGAAACAATGTATTTTGTCATGCATGCATAGTTTAAAGTCAACAGAGAAACAATAATTGAATAGTTCAGAGAAGAACTTGGTAAGTCCCCATTTATGAAGAGCTAATGATACTTGGGTTACATAGAATTTGCGTGCACGGCCATCCATGTAGTGTGTGATTAGTGCAACCTGTTGGGATTTCTTTACCTTCCCATCGGTGACATATGTCATTGACTCCGTCATGAAGTGGTGGTATGTCATCATGTTGACCCTACCATTGTATCGTTCTGGAGTGATCAGTTGGAGTAATGTTTGTGTATCCTTGTGGGCGCACTTCTTTTTGTTGCAACACTGTTGGTGCGATGCTTGTTGATGCTGCTTTCGAGTTTGTTGCACCCAGCCCCTGCCCAAGGATGGTGATGACAAAAAGGATTCTGATGATGAGTTGGAAGATGGTGACAACAAGCTCGGCTTGTAGTCTGAGTTGCTATCCTCACTGTCTGAATCCTCAGATGAGCTGGAGCTGGTTTCTGAATCTGATGAGCTGGAAGAACTTGATGAGCTTGAAGAACTGCTCGAAGGGATGCCTGTGCCTGTTGTTGCTTTCCCAGTGAGTAATTTATGTTTCCCTGACTTCAACTGTTGGAACACATTTTCTAGGAAGCTTGTTGGATTAATCTGCGCCAATGCATTCATTGCAGATGGCGCAAATTTCTTTGCAACAGTTTACTTAGCTTTTGCCTTGCGTCTTTCCTGTCCAGCATAGTCTGTGACTGTGTTTTTGATCATCTGGCAGATTGAATCATTGCCAGCTAACTCGATCATGGGTTCAGGTATGTCCCCACGTTCTGGCTTTCTGCTGCATTGGTTGTGGACTTCTTATAATGCTTTGTTTTTGTTTTAGGCAATGTAACCTGTCTGACGCTTACCAAGGGCCCTGGGGCTGGCTCGGAAGCTACTTTCTTTGTCTCGCCCTTGGCAGTTTTCTTTGCGTGCTTGCCTTTGAGCTGTGCAATGTGTGACTTCAGTGAGGTACGCATCCTGTTGATCTTATCAATGATGTTGTGAGGGATATGGAAATCTCCATCCTCGTCCTCATCATCTGATATGTCCTGCAGTTCCGGGATGTTGTCTTTGTTATCAGTGTCCACATGGGGCTGCATTTCAGCATGTGTTTGCAGCTGTATTCGCTCATCATTGCACATTGAGTATCCACATTTATTTCATTTTTGGAAAGCTCTGACGCTCCCCAATTCTTGGGGTCTACACCCTTGCCCTTGTCTTGGGTGGGTGGAGCTTCTTCTGACTTGCTGTCTGACAAGTTGTCACTCACGTTGTTGCTGGTACTTGATGATTCGCTGCCAAGCACGGACTTGTAGTGCTTGTGGATACGTGCACGCTGTTTGGCCGTAAGGCTGTCCTTGGCTTTGGTGACAGTGTGTTGCTGGGGTGTGGATAGTTTCCCCTCAATGGCGGATATATTCTTGCCATCCTTCCTGTCCTCCAGGGTAAGCGGGGTTTCATCCTCCATATCAGACATGGGAGCCTCAGCTATGACCGCTGTATCAACGGGGTCTCAATGAGCACGCGGCTTGGAGGATCTCCCACGATGAATTGAGTGCACCTCATTACCGCCAAGGTGAGAGGTCTGCACTGGTGTCTCTGGAGACGGAGTGAGCAAACCTAGTTTGTCACTGCTATGGCTTGGGCTAGGCGGTGCCGACAACAAGTGAGCTTGTACTTGACCACGCAGGTTGTAACACATGTTGGTGTTTTTGGTCGGCCATATGTGGTGGGCGGTTGTTGACTGGTATGAATTTGTATGCTCGGGGGTTGACAGGTGATCAGACTGTCAGACACAACAAGCAAAGGTTTTACTTAATGTGTAGGTTGTTGTAGATGGAGGTTCAAAATATGTGATGGTGACCCGGAGTTGGAACTCAGAACAACGGCACAATAGGATATGAGAGATAGAAAGCGAGAGAGCACTTGAGGTGTGAACCAGCCAAAAGAATATAGGGATTTGGATGGGAGAACTCTGAAGTTCTCCATCATAGTACAGAGCTCTTATATACCATAGACGAGAGAGTCCAATGCCTGACTAGGCATCCGGATGAGGTGAGGATAAGTAGATATGAGTAAGACAATCTGACCAAGTGTCCCGTGATCCAGAACCACTACACTTCTGGTGAGTGAGAGATTTTCAGCAGGAACATCATTGAAGTCACATCTCCTTGAACTGTTGCTGTAGGAATTGCTCAAGCTTGCCTTCCTCATTTTGCTTGAGCTCTTCAAGTTGCTTGTGCTTGGTGATTAGATCTGAGTCAAGGGTGAATATGGTGTCCTCAGGTATCTGTTAAGTGTAAATATGACTAATGGAAGATGTAGAATATAAAATTTGCCTCATCCTCAGTAGGAGCATTGTGTGGATACTCTGA